TCTGGGAGTTGAAGTCCACTCATCTTAAAGTGGCCAAGTTTGGACAACACTGATCTAGAGGAACACCCAGGCTAAGAAAGCTTTACCCCGTTCTTTGGCATAGGATATGCTTCCCCATCACCTGCAACCTTTTAAAACTAGGAAGGTCTGGAACTGAACTCAAGAGCTTTGCACACCAAGTAGGTAGACTATCAACATGGGGATAAAGACAAAGAACCCTATCCTAGATTCTGTTTGGCACAGATTTGGTCAGAGCATTTGTACTTTTTAATTTAGCAGAATAAAAAGGCTCTGCAGGAATGGAGATCTCGCAAACAGAAGTGGAAGTAGACATTTGTATACGTTTTTGAAAGCACCAGCTTGGAATATTATTGTATTTTATTGAATTAATTGACTGGGGTTTTAGATCACTGCAATCTATGTAACATATACAATCATAAGATGCTTGACAGTTAAAAAATATATGTCCAAGGTGCAAGTAAAAGTATAGTAAATACAAATCATAAAAACAAAATTCATCATTAATTTAAAACTGGAATGGTATATAAACAATTCCCAAAGAGCTTTCCTCATTAATTGAAAAAAATCCTCCAGAAGAGTCCCATTTTAATCTGCTTCTGGAAGGCAGCAGGTTGGGGGGATAAGATTAATATTCCTTACTTAAACATGGACAAATGTTTACTGACTTATCAGTCCCTAGTACAGTAATGCCTCCCTGTCTCTTCTCCATATTTCTGTTTTGAAAAAAGTATAGTCAGTACAGAATTACTTATTAGCTTCTAATACCTATTATGCCTAACATCCTCAAGAATCAAGTTATCACGCTGCAACTTAATTTGACAGAAATCATAACAGAGGTGCCCAGTGACGCACTAAAATATTAGCATAATAGGAAGCTCAGTTCATCAAAGGTGGCTCTAATGAATCTGTATTTGTGAAGGTCAGTTTATCTGTACCCTAGAAAGTGCCTAATTAGTAGGAGTCTCTTGTTCTCCAGCAGATATTTTTTAAATGATACTTAAATAAACTCTGTGGTAGGGAGAAGTCTGAAAGGAAAAGTACAGACTATGAATATCAGTGGTGTTCAGAATGAGAAGGGCTATCCCTGTCAGAAGACCAAGACTGGTAAAATCCAGGTGGCAACATCCAACCACAACTGGAAAGGGACCAAAGGAAGAATTGCCATTCAAGTTTCAACTACTCCCTTGAGACCTCCCTTTTCCTCCTTCCATTCCTGCATCTTTCAACCAGATTTGCAGGGCATGATCCTTCAAACACAGGACACCTTCAAATAGAGCTCAGACTATATTGGTGTCCTTGCACAAAATCTTATGACAATTCTTATGAAATTTCACAAGATTTGGGGCAGCTTCGCTGAAATCTCACAAGACTTTGGCAATATCAGCAGATTTCAGAAGATTTTTGTTCAAAATCTTGGCTCGTTGTCTGTGATTGAATAAAGATATCTGGGGTCAAAAAAAAATGTCCATTTGAAGCCTCCATCCAAAGGAGGAGGAGGAGAACCTATGCCTCATAACTGGAAGATCAGTTCTAGGATTGAATGGACTACACTTTAAAATGGCTGTGTTTATTAAACATATGTCTGAGGCAGATGAATAGCCCTTTTTTCCAGAAGGAATAAAGGGTATATTGAGGGAAAATAATTTTGATGAAAATATTTTTCATGTTATTATAACATGAAACAGTATAACAGTTCTTACAACATAAGGTTTTATGTATCAGAAGTGATTTCATCAAATGTATACTGAAGTTTTATGTATACTTTTATTTTTGTCGCCAGGAGTGAATAGAGTACAGGGTGAATATGAACAAATGGTGCAGCCAAACTGTCTGCCTGTTGTCTTTTAATGCAAATCCCAAATGTATGCAAGTAGAGTAAGAGAGGCCCGTGTTTTTTCTATGCTCAGTTAATATCTGAAGATGATGGACATTTTAATAGAACAATACAGAAAACACACAATTTTCTTTCTCCTTCAAGGAGAAAATATTGCTCAAGCCATTTTGAAGGAGTTGGTTGGCTTCATCTTCTCTCTGGAACCACTAATAAAGGAGTAGTAGTAGAAGAAGAAAGCAAAGGAAGATCCGGTAATGATTCATAAGTGACCCATCCAACTAAAACCTGGAACACTAATGACCTACCTGTCATCCGTTAACATTCTACTAACAAGCTTAAAAGCACTGGTAAGGAATAGCATTAAGCCACAAAACAGCTCATACAAAGAAAAAGAACACAGGATTTAAGGAGAAACTCACATCTTTTGGAAGGTAAGCACTATATGCTTCGGCACCTCCCATTTCATACTAGCATGAAAGTATGTATTATCGATGGCAAGGAATCTATTTTACAAACACAGTTGGGGGAGAATTTCTCATTCCCCCTGTATTCTAGTTTTCTACAAAGACAAGAATGTAGGAATGTTGTTTGCTGTCAGTTGAGATCCTGAGAGGTTGTCCTAGATGGGATGGTTGTTCTGTTGAAGGAAAAAGATAAAAAACATGAGCTATTTCTGAGATGTCATTGTATTTATCAATTTAACTAGAAATCCTTTGCAAAACTCCTTATTGCTTAATTCTATTTAAAGGCAGATTTGTGAGTAATAGTCTTACTAAGCATGAGGAGCCAGAGATGGTCTATTGGTTTCAAGTGCTGGAAGTGGTATGAGAAAGGCATTTCCCATAATGTACGGATACATGGCTTACTCGTTAGATTGGGTGAATCTTTTCCAAAATGATCAGTAAAACAACCATATTAAATAGAACTGTTTGGAAAGAGCAGACTTTGTTCACAAGTTTTCAACATAATTCAAAGCTCTGTGTCTTTAGAAGACAATGATCAAATCTGCTTCACTGTCTTCTGCAGCCACAGATTAAAAAAAAAAAAAATGTAAAGGAAGACCAATAGGGAGATGAGTGTACTCTGGGCAATTCTTTGCGGAGGTTGGACTTTATTATTTTTCTTCCTGGGTTAGAAATTGCCAATTCCTCTGAATAGTACAAACATGAAATCAACTTCTGATCAACTACTTTGGTTTATCTATTGTGGAGTCTTCTGCATAGACTTGAAAGTCCAGAGTATTCAAAACTGGACTCATGAGCTTAGTGTTTGCAAGAACAATTTCACCTCACCTCTGCAATACACAAAAGCTTCAATTGTGTTTTCTTATATCCAGTCCTAAACTGGTAGGAAAGTTAAAAATGTGGTCCAATTCTTTTTCATACCTTTATCTGTTTGCCTGGCTTCAGAAGTTCTGATGAAGAAAACATGGTGGATTTGTGTATGTGGAGTGGTCATTGCAGCTTTACTCCCTGTTAGCTGGCAGATGATCTTGAAGGATTCAACAGATGAATCTAGGTATGAAGAAACTTTTAATATATTTGATTTGACTTGGGGGTATATGAAAGGAGGGAGGAATTGCAGACGCTTCAATGCTTGCCAATTTCCTACAGCAATCTTCCCCAACCTAGTGCCCATTAGACAGGCCAGTCTAGCATTCTCATAATTACTAGTCAAAATTAGCAATGATCACACTGCATGGAATCTAGAGGACATATTTTCAGTACTTTTTGGTTTGGTTCAAATTATTTTTCTAAGGCAAAATTATCATTTAAGATGATAGGAAGATGCTTATTGAGTGGCAAGGCCACTCCTCAGGCTAAATGAATAAGATTGGAATGTATGACAGTTGAAATACGCCTTATTGGAGGACATTAATTTGAATTCAGAAATTCATAAGAAATTGGCACTTCTGCCATACTTAGGCATCTTCTAAAGTCATCTAACCATTATGCCAAAATTACAAAAATGAGAATAGAGTTCACATCACTTCAGAGACACCTTGGTGATGCTATAAAGACATTGTAAGTCATTAGTGGGGAAATGTGTGACCTAGAAGCGGAAAATTTATTGAAGTCACACTCATACCATCTGTCCCCCATTCGAGCTTCTGTATATGTCCCTGATTTTCTGAATAGCTTTTCCACCCACACAGTGAATTGTACTTTCCTGACCTCTGCATGTAAGAGGTAAGTCTCTACAAAGAGAGTCAGAAATTATCAGGCTAGTTGAAAAATATGTGTGTTTTACACTCTATATAGAGCCAGTGGCTTGAAGTGTATGAAGGGTCTTCTGAAGAACTGTAGGGTCCAGCCATCGTCACACAGACCTGGGGAAAAACAGGTCTAGCCCTCCTGGCCACTGCTGCCACTTGCTCCTTAAGGACAAGCTGTAAGTCTAGGAAAATCCCCAATTGCATACCATTTCTATCCAAGGGAATGCAACCATATTCAGAACTAAAAGTGGAAAATTCATGGCAGTGGAAGAAACAGGAAAGCACAGCCATGATATCTAGTGAGATCTTATGAGAGCTGGCCAATTTACAGAATTCAACCTTTTTTTTTTTCATTTTAAAAAAGGTATTATTTTGCTATCGGTGAGCAGTGGGCACCAAGGTGTTGCAAGGACTGTGTGTCATAAAGTAGCACATATAAAAAAGAGGCAGGGCTTTGATCATGGTGTCACAACCACCATCTTGATATTTTGACACACACACACCCTGTGGATGCCCCTGGTGAGCACAATCAATAGTGCTGCAGATGTCCATTGACATCTCCAAAGAATATCATCAGTTATATCATATGACTTCATGGTTATCCTATGTACAAAAACCGATTGCCAGATGCTTTGAGGCTAGAAGATGGCTATGTACCTGAGAAATGCATGCCTCCTTTTTTATCTTTTTTGGATAGCTTCTTATGGCTTGGCTAGTATTAGAAATGTGTCATTGGCGTGCCACTGCAAGTGATGAAAATACTCTTCGGGGAGAATGCATAATGCAACCCATCCTTGGCTTTTCACTCAGGTGGCAGCAGTCTTACAAAATGAAAAGCGCCCACAGCTTTACTTCCGACATCAAACGCCATTCCGAAGGGACCTTCACCAGCGATTTTACCGAACATTTGGACAACATGAAGGCCAGAGACTTTGTGCACTGGCTCATCAACGCCAAACGTTACAGGTAGAAGATGGTGAACTTTTCCATCTAGGAAGAGTATCCATTTTCCATAATATAGTAATGTATAAAGTTAACTTATTATTCCAAACCATAGGGTGAGCAATTAAAACAGGAAATGAAGAAACAAATGCTAAAATTATATAAAATTAAGTGAATAGCCATTACAAAGTTACTTTACAAAGACAAAATCAACTTCATTTAATGACTCTATGAAGGAGGTATTTATGATGATCAGCTGCAGCTTGAGCAGCACCAGTCTCCCCAAGACAACCTTCTTCTCTGTTTTCAATAAGAATTCAGTTTCATAAATGGCTAGAATACTTTCTTTTTCAGAAGTGATTCTAAATACATTCAAGTACGTCTATATACATTCAGCAGAATTAAGGTGGGCAATATAGAAGATAGTGAGGGATGTCCTTTAAATTGCCATGTCTTTCAGAATAAGCACTGATGGGTCTAAGAAAGATCATAATGCATCCAAGCAAAATGATTCCTGAAAATCATCTCTTATGTACAAGCAGATAATGACTGAATAGATAATGACCAACTCTAGTGATTGGTCAATGGATGGTTTGTGGTAGATTTATAAGTGATTTCTGACTGCCAGTTGTTTAATAGCAACAGGAAAAAGCTTTTCCTCATCTGAACTGGTTTATTGGAATCCTTATTGGTATTAAGTTAGATGTCTGATAGATTGTACTTATAGATGCAAGTCATTCTTGAATACAGCCCGCTTCCCTTGTCTCCTTTCCCTCCCTTGCCTCACCACACGATTTTTTATCTGTGTCTCCAGCATGTTAGGCTACAAACTCCATCATACCTGCCAAGCCTTCTCAACCCTTGTGTAAAATGATGGGAGCTATAGGCAAGTGTATCACAAGATCATCAGATTTGAGAAACAAAAGCCCCAGAATCAGATCAATGGTTTAATCAAAGGCTGATTTATTCAAACCCCACAGATTGATCTCCAGTTTCCCAGGATTGATCTGATTAACTCTAATCCTAATTCCTCAACAAAAGACAAACAAAACAAATTAAAAAAAAAAAAAGAACAGGAATGCATTACCAAAAAGGAGGACATTTGTGGGCATAACATGCAAATGCACACTTCCAAGACATCCCCCCATGTGATGCACTGTAACAGTATGTGGGAATGACGTTGGGAGACAGGGCTAAGAGACACAGCCAAGGGAATGGTCAGATAAAAGGCAGCCTAGCCCACAGCTGGGTAGCAGAAGGGGCAAGCAGCTCTAGTAAAAAGGGACAGGTGGGGGGGCGGGGAGAGATGTACTCTCAGACTTGCAAGATTTTGTTAATGTAACCTTACAATAAAGCAGAATTAGTTCATCTGGCTGTGTTTCCTGTCCAGTCTACCTTGTAAGGCTGACATCCATGGACCTGCTGATTCTGCCCTTTCTTTGCAAATGGCAGTTGGGAACAGCAAGGCCATCACTGCTCTTCTTTCTTATGATTCTTTATCTTTCAACAGGCCCTCGTCTGGACAAGCCTTCCCATATTGGAAGCCAGTCTCAAAAATGAATAGTGACCTCCTAACAGCTCTTCAGGATATAATATCCTGAATATCCTTTTCAGGGCAATATGTATCACCCCAAATTAGCCTTTCTATTTTGGCTATTTGGAATAGATGTAGTACTGTCAGCGGGCAACTCTTTAGCCTTCCACCTGGAATTAAGTTCCACTGAATGCAGGGTGACTTACTTCTGAGTAGACCTACAGTACATAAGATCATATCATTTTTGTTGATTTCATAGCCTTTGCCTCATTCTTCTTACAGCTCTACAAAGCGGTTCATTAAAGAAAAACCCATCTTCTTAGGCTATCCACCTGGATCTTTCTGGTTGAGGTAAGGCTACAGCATGTAAAATACGATGCTGCATCTTGATGCTTCTGGTAATTCATTGGATTCACATTTCTCTATCACAGTTTCTCAACCTCAGCGACTTTAAGATGTGTGGACTTCAACTCCCAGAATTCTGGGAGTTCTGGGAGGAAGTCCACATATTTTAAAGTTGCTGAGATTGAGAAACACTGCTCTGTCTGAAGGCCTCTGTCTGAGAAAAGATGGAAGTGCAATTGTGGAACAGGGGACTAAGACGGGAAAGTCCTAGGCTGACTTCCTTGCTTAGCTTTGAAGCTTATTGGATGATAGCAGCCTAGCTTTCAATTATAGTATCACAGCAAGCTGTGGTCATGTGATCACAATTTCTGACATTCCCTGCCAGCTTCTAAAAAGCAAAGTCAATGGGGAAGCCAGTCAGAAGTCACAGTCACATGAGGTCCTCACTTAATGACCTGGACAGTCGTTGCTTAACAATGGCAATTGGGACTGCCAGAATGTCATCACTAAGCGACGTGGTCATGTGATGTTCCACTTTTATGACCACATCACTTAGCAATGGCAATTCCAGCCCCAATTGCTGTCATTAACCAAGGGCCATCTATAGGGCTGACACAATTGTTTCCGTCTTTCCTCATTGGAGAATTGCTCAAATCTCCTAATCACCAATTCTATAATTTTTTTGAGGAGTGGTGCCCCAAACTGTTCCAAGTAGTCCAAGCATAGTCAAGTGTTCACCACCAGAAGTGATACATATTTATATTACTTGCATAAACCAGGAAAGAGGTATTGTAAAAATCTTTTATTTTAAGATTAAGATTGTTTCTCCCATACATCCAGTTCAAACTATCTGAAAGTATGGGAATGTTAGCCTTCGGGGTAGTCCAGAGAAGAAACACAATCAGGAGTACTAGCTCTATCTTTATTGTAAAGTTATATTAACAGAATCTTGCAAGTCTGAAAGTATTCCCCCCCCCTCTCCTTTTCCTCTAGGGAGGGTCCCTTCTGAAACATTTCCCATGCCCTCCCTCCTTCTATGGACTGAGATACCTTTTACATGCTGGTTGTCCAGTCTGTGGCTCTTCCTCCTGTCTCCCAAGGTCATGCTCACATACCATAACAGGGAGAGATGATGATCTAAATGGCTTTGCCCAAGGCAGTGCTACCTCACTGCCAAGTGAATAATAATTTCTCATCATTATTGTAATTTTTCTAATGTGCACTCAGTAGACCAAAGCAATTGCTATGGAACATCTCAGCTTCTTCCTGATCACAAAGCACAGCTTCTGATATCCTCACTCTGTCACTTTTCCCAGGTACAATTAAAAGGATAATACAGGAATTGGACATTCCCAGCTTCAATATTCCCAAGCACATCCAGCAATGAGAATTTTTGCTTCCATAATCTACTGATACTTTTTCTGTTCATTGTTTCCAAGCCAGTGAACCACAGATACTTCATTTCCTTGCTGCTAAAGGTATTTACAATAAATGTCACATTAAAAATGATTTATTTCAGTCTCTGCTTTTTTTATTCACTATGTATTTTGAGGGAGAGTTGGGTGTTAAGCAACTAGAGACAAGGGATTGATTGGACCAAACCCATTAGTGGAAAGAGTCCCTTTCTTTTTTAAAATACCATAAATGACTCAAAAGATATTAGCCTTTTAGATGCCACAAGAGGATAGTTGTGGTCAAGGGAAAATACCAGCCTTCTTGTAAATAAGCCATAGGTTCTGACTGCAAGCACCTGCAGGCTCAGCTGCTCTGTTTGAAAGGGCAGGTGTGGGGGCTGGAGAAGAGGGTGGAGGGAGATGGCAGAGGAGGAGGAGGACGAGGAGGAGACCAACACCAACAGAAGCCTTTGGAGGAAGCATCATCTGGAAGTAACCTTATCAAGGCTTGTATAAACAGACTCCCCCATCCTTCTATGCTGGTTCGCTGGGACCCAGCTCATTTTTCAGGTACAGAATAGAGCTGGTTCCTCATATTGGAAAGGTTTTCTTAGAAGGAAAGAAGGGGCCAGAGACTTTATGCTGAAGCTGGAATGCCACTGAGTCTTTCAGTGCAAAAGGAGGATAACAAGCCTCAAACTGCTGCAGCCTGACCCATTTTCTCCCTTGGTTTGATACCTTTTGAGTATTTACTTTTTGAGTTCTTGGCTTGGGCTGCTGACACTCCAAAGAGTCTGTTTTCATTTTCAACTCCTAATCCTGAATGCTTAAGGGTCTGGGGAGAATAAATTACAGCAGGTTTACTACATCTTTGGAGAGTCCAGTGTTTGCTGTTACTCACAAGTCAGCTCCCCACCTGTCTACAAGGAACTTTGCCACAGATGCCACAAGAGGGTATTTTTTGCTGCAACCAAAGAACATGTATAGCTTTCTTCCCCAGATGATGAATGCAGGATCACTGTAATTTTGCAAAAAGATGTAAAGAACAGAAGGCAGTAAGAAGAACCTCCTGGATCAAGCCGAGGGTCCATCAGAATCAGCTCCAGCCTTGACATATGCTCATTTTGGAATATTTTCTATGAGTTTCTATGATATTTTCTATATCCATCTAACAGTAATTGTCCAAGCCATATTTTGTTGGCTTCCCTATTAAAATCTCACAGGAGACATAGTTGAAGACTGTACTGAAGTCCAGGAATTGCATTCCTATAGTTAAACTGCTCACTACTGAAAAAGAATAGTTTTCAGTGAGAATGCATATCCTGTGCTCCCTTTGACCTAAGGATTTATCTCCATGGGATGGCACCTACTACCTCTTCTCACCTTGTTTTAAACTGGCTTTCCTAAGAACTAACATGCAGGTACAATTTCTCATTCTGCACTATTTGAACCCCAAGATGACGTGATCACTCCCGCCCAAAGTTATTGCTACCTCTTCAGGTAGCTCCTAGCTATGACTGGCGGACAGACGGACGGAGATAGATAGATGATAGATAGATAGAAAGATAGAAACCTTCCACAAAATGAAGCAGCCAGCAAGACCTCTTAGGAATTTTTAAGACCTTGCAATCTTGGTTGATTCAGTTACTATGTCTTTCCTTCCTGAAAGTTCTGTAATGTAGTCTGGGAGCACATTATCCAGTTCTTTCACCTAGCTTGGCCATTTATAGCACTACCCCTCCCATGTACCTCTTCCTTCTTTTCTTACAAAAATAGTTTGACTGGACCTTCACACTCCAGTTTCTGGATCCCAATACATGTGTGCAGTTTTTTCACATAATGCCACTCCTCCTCCTCCTCTTTTTGTCTGCCCAATAAAGAACAATGTACCTACATTCAATATTAAATAGGGAATCTTGGTAACCTGCCCCGTCCATAAGCACTCACTGGTCTAGATCAGCTTTTCCTCCAGAATGAAAACACTGAATAGGCAGGAAGCCTGCTTCATTGGAGATTCATAAAGGATAAAAAAAAGAAAAGATGACATGCACCAATCAGAAGACAGAAAATAATTGAAGCAGAGAATATTATTCTCCATATCAGGCCATGAACTGGTCACTGAAGACTTCCTTTATTAATAACATGCACACAGATTAAAAAAAATTAAATATCTCTCCAAAGTTATGCATTCATGGGTAAAAATATGTTGAGTATACAAGTAAAATAATTTTAAAATATCGTTTGGGAAAGCACTATAAAATTTTAAGACCTGTTTTAACGGAAAGCATTGCTTTCTGAAAACGACATGACAAAGAGCACACTTATAATAATATTTTAATATTTGAAGATTAACATACAGATCAATAATGGGTACAATTCTCAATCATCAGAGTGCTATCATCACTGACAGAGTTTGTACAGACATGAAGTGTAAGGCAGAATCAATGACTTTTACCATAAAACAACAAAACTATACTTGTTTAGATAACTCATTTCTGAGCAAAATTTCAGCAAATGTATTTCGGTTTCTACAGAACCAATAAGAGTCCATTTCCCCATTAGTACACATATTTACAATATGGAGCGTTTTTTTTAAATTACATTTCTTACAACAAAATAAATAGTTTTCTTTTATATCTAAAAAGAAAATAGTTTCTCTATTTCTACATGTAGTTGTCATAGGAGGAAGAAAAAATACTAGAAAAATGTGCCAGCACCTTTTCTTGGATTCCCCTCCTTCTTCAGTTAAGATTATGAAATTCTTCACAATTTTCAAAAATGCCCAACATGCTTTAAGAACTTAACCCAGATTGTATTATCTAGACGATCTGTCCCCAATGGGGCAGCTTCCCTATGTGTTGGAACTGCAATTCCCATCATCCCGGGACTCCCGGTTTGGGGGATATTAATCTAAAATGGATCAAGAACAGACCTCATGGATGTTCTGGCAGAAATCGGAGCCAGGTCTACAGCCCCTTGCAGCCTGTTAGCCTCCATTGAATGATATAAATCTCCTACCTCCAGCTAGCCTTTACAGTGGTACCTCGAGTTACGAGCGCCCCTCCTTATGAATTTTTCGAGATATGACCAGCTCCGGCCCCTAAAATTTAACTCGACTTGTGAACTCCACCTCAAGTTACGAACCGGATCCGCGGCCATTTTCCCTGCTGCCACGCGGTTGCGGCTT